ATTCGATATCGTCATGATAACTTGAGTATAAATGTCGTCTTCCTATTCCAGAGTTTTCTGGTTCTCACTGTAGTTACAATTTAAAGTGACTTCTCTGTTTAAAATAAAAGAATGGATAAGATAATATGAGGAGGATATCGCCGTTTTTCTATCTTTGGTTCTGTAAATTTTCTTTAGTAACTTTTAAAGTTCTCTATTTTCAGATTGAAAGTTACAATTCAATTAGGAAAGACCGCTTTAAATTGAGTGTCATTTGAAATTCCGTAGACAGTCCCTTTGTAGCCTACCACAGATTTTATAAAAATATACCTTTTCGGCAAGAATTTATGAAGAAAAAATTAAACAGAATGCTTATTGAAGAAATTTCTTATTTTAATATTTTTTCACGACAATATTAATAAAACGATGTTTAGGTGTGTAAACTTCTCCAGTGATCTCAACCTAATATGTACAGGTACTATATTTAGATTGAACAGTTTACAGTGTACAGTGTACAATCTAAATTGAATTCATCCGGATTTGTAGGGAGCTTAAAAATCTGGAAAAAAATCTTTAGAAGGATGAATTTGATTTTGAAGTAAAAAAAATATTTTTTTTTAAACCACTTAAAGATAATCATCAAACTAAGCTTATTAGGATTCTTAAGATCCGTTATTATCCTATTTTTAGTCTTTCGATATTTAAAAAAAAATTAAGTTGAGGCCCAAAAATGGTTTATTTCTTTTATTCCTTTTTGTGAGTAAATCAAATTTAATCTGGGTGAAGCAAGTAGAATTTCCAAAATCGAGCTCTCTTATTGTACACTGTTAAATCTATTGTGTACAAGGTCAACTACAAAAATTGTACCTATGTACATTGTTCATTGCTTATTTGATTTTACAATGTACGGTACTAGTGTTAACATACCATACAGTACAGTACAGCGTGAAGTACTTCAAAGTTTTTCCATACTGTGTTCATATTGACTGTACTCTGTATATTATATCATGGATTTTCTGTAAACATTATATTAAATATAAAAAACAGCTATATCTAAAATATATAAATTCTCCTTTTTTACTCATGAATATTGTAAAAGAGTATTTTATTTTAATTTATTTTTTGTATTTATCTTATTAAAACTGCCCCACACATATCTGATCAGAAATAGGCTAAAGGGTACTGGGTATGCACTCTCTCAAAGGAGGATCCCTTGAAATTACGTCTATTGTCCCTTTAAGGAGGGTCATTTGAAACTACGCCAACAGTTCCTTTAAATTTGGAATTTTTACTTAGTATGGTTTGTTATTATCAGGAAGTTGGGATAGTACAGTTAAACTTTGGGACCCAAGAACCAACTCTTGTACAGGCACATTCACACAACCTGACAAGGTAGATTTATTTATTAAATTATTCATTCATTAATCCTTTCAATCATTCATTTATTCATTCTTTTATTCATTTATTCATTTAATCATTCTTTTATTCATTTATTCATTTATTCATTTAATCATTCTTTTATTCATTCATTAATTTATTCATTCATTCATTTATTCATTCATTTATTAATTTATTCATTTGTTCATTTGTTCATTTATTCATTTGTTCATTTGTTTACTTGTTTACTTGTTTACTTGTTTACTTGTTTACTTGTTTACTTGTTTACTTGTTTACTTGTTTACTTGTTTGCTTGTTTACTTTGCTCGCTTGCTCATTTGTTCACTTGTTCACTTGTTTACTTGTTCACTTGTTCACTTGTTCACTTGTTCACTTGTTCACTTGTTCACTTGTTCACTTGTTTACTTGTTTACTTTGTTCGCTTGCTCATTTGTTCATTTGTTCACTTGTTCACTTGTTCATTTGTTCACTTGTTCATTTGTTCATTTGTTCACTTGTTCACTTTGTTCGCTTGCTCATTTGTTCATTTGTTCACTTGTTCACTTGTTGTTCACTTGTTCACTTGTTCACTTGTTCACTTGTTCACTTGTTCACATGTTCACTTGTTTTCTTAATTATTTAATGTTGTGTTCAGGTTTACTCAATGTCTGTAGCTGGAGACAAACTAGTCGTGGGTACAGCGGGGAGAAAAGTATAAAAATTATTTTTATTATTATTATCGTTATTATCATTGTTTTCATTGTTTACATTGTTAAGTCAAGGTTGATTAATGATAAAAATGATAAACAATTCAAAAAATTGTCTTTAATTTAAATCTTTTTCAAAACATATGGTGCTCGAAGATATTTTTTCTATATAAAGAAAAAATAAAGATTTCTAAAGCTGTCACTCCTTAGATTTTGTAAGCACTCCCTTAAAATATTAAGGTCTGGGTGTGGGATCTACGGAATATGGCAGCTCCGCAGCAAAAACGAGAATCCAGTCTGAGATACCAGACCAGGTATATCCGTTAGCAGGGGCGTACTCAGGAATTTGTCCAGTACATGTACTCATTAACCCTTGTACATGTACTCATTAACCTCTTACATTTACTCCTTAATCTCGTACAAGTAATGTTAAACCTTCTTACTGTATTATTTAACCTTTAACAACTGTTTGAGAAGAAGTTTCTCTGCTTAATTCTTTTGATCCTAAACTTACTAGTTTCTAAATTCAAATTAGAGCTAGGATGTATATGTATTGTATTCACCCGTTAACAGGCCGATGATGAAAATTATTTTTAGGGTCGACTACGAAAGTAGTTTTTCTATCAATTAACCTTTGACATGTACTCATACACCTTCTACAATGTACAAGGTGTAATGTAATGTACATGTACTCTTTAACCTCAAACATTTTTTTTTCATGTACTCTTTAATATTGTACATGTACTCTTTAACCTTATACTTGTACTCTTTAACCTTGAACATGTACTCTTTAACCTTTTACATGTACTCTTACACCTTGTACATGTACTTTTTAACCTTGTACATGTATTCTTAAATCTTGTACATGTATTCTTCAGCCTTATACCTGTACTCTTTAACCTTGCACATGCTCTTTAACATTGTACTCTAATCTTAAACCTTGTACTCTAATCTTTAACCTTGTACATGTACTCCTCAACCTTGTACATGTAACCTTTAACCTTGTACACTAATCTTTAGCCTTGTACATGTACTATTTAACCTTGTACTCTAATCTTTAACCATGCACATGTATTCTTTAACCTTGTACACGTGTTCAGGTGTTTGAACTGTTTCTCAAACAAGGCTGGTTATGTACTGAGTAGTATTGAGGGGAGAGTAGCAGTTGGTAGGATTTTTAATTTTTGTATTACATAGTTCTACTCTACGGTATGATTGTTCATTATTGTCATTATTATCAGGGGGGGGGGGTTTCCCCTTTTCCAATTTATAGCAATATAAACCGGGTTTAACCTGGTGGGGGGAGATTTTTAAATTTGGCTGATTGATTGGTTGGTTGATTGATTTATTCATTCATTCATTCATTTGTTCATCCTTTCAGTCGTTCATCCTTTCAATCATTCATTAATTCATTCATTCAATCGTTCAATCATTCATTCATTTATTCATTCAATCAATCAATCAATCATTCATTCATTTATTCATTTATTCATTCATCCTTTCAATCATTCATTCATTCATTCATTCAATCATCTTTTCATTCAATCAATCATTCATTTATTCATTCATCCTTTAATTCATTCATTCATTTATTCATTCAGCCATTCATACATTCATTCTTTGTTTCTTTTATTCAATTATTCATCCTAGAGTACCTGGATACAAGTATTGAGGCACAAAAGAAGAAATACGCATTTAAATGTCACAGGTATTTTTTAGTGTTAAACTTTTGGATCGTTTTTAAAAACTTCCAATAAAACTTCCAATAAAACTTCCAATAAAACTTCCAATAAAACTTCCAATAAAACTACCAATAAAACTTCCAATAAAACTTCCAATAAAACTTCCAGTAAAACTTCCGATAAAACTTTCAATAAAACTTCCAATAAAACTTCCAGTAAAACTTCCAATAAAACTTCCAATAAAACTTCCAATAAAACTTCCAAGATTTCAAAACTGAGATCTTTTAACTTTGCAATATTTTATCCTTATTGTTCATTTTTGTTAGCTTTTCGTCAAAATTTGACATAGTGTAATAAAATCAAATGTTTAGAAAAAAAAAAAAATGTTAAAAACATATTCTCTTCTGTCACTATGCCAAATTTTGACCCTGAAAGAAAAAAAGGCAAAAAACGATCGAAACCAAAAGCCAAAAACTTAATTCACATCAATACACACATTTAATTTAAAGTATTGTATATATTAGATATTGGTAAGATGTTAAGGATATAAGGATATAAGGAAGATCTAGCCTTTTTAGAAATTATTTCTATTAATTATGAGACTTTCCAAATTTTCAGTTTTTTCTAATTTCTCCTAGAACTTATTTTTCTTCATATTTTTAAATGTTTGCTTTAGATCCATTTTTTATTTGATTTCTCAATTTTCTATTTGTAGGATAAAAGAGAATGGAGTTGAGAGTATTTATCCTGTGAACGCGATCTCCTTTCACAGGTGATATATACAATGAATCCCAGATTTATGAATACATAGCCAGAGTTTTTTATATTTTATAATGTTGTATTCTCAACCTATTTAAGATCAAATGCCGCGGAAAACGAGTTTGATATATCAATTGATGTTCAGGGCTATTAATTTACCCTGAAATGAAAATAAGAAATAGTTTCTTACGAAGCATCAGAAAAGTTATGACTCTCAACAATGATATTTGGATATATTTATAATTAGTATTTAACCCTTTGAAGCTATGAGCATCTACGCAGCTTTCTTGGTGTGCAGAACAATGATAAAGCATAACAACAGCTGTCAAAAACTTCAAATAAATTTCAAGCCGACATTTCATGCGCTCTTGCTATGTTTTCTTATATGTGAGATTGACTGTTTATCTAAAATAGTAATCTCTGTTTGTCTTTTTGTTTGTGTGTACATCCGATCATAACTCAGAAACTCCTTGACCGAGTTTTCTTAAATTTTATAACTTGGGGAACTCGATAAGACCCCGGAATGTTCATAGCTTGTTTTAAAGGCGAAAGTTTTATTTCCATGCAATTCGGGCTTCTAAAGCTTGTTTGGGTAGCTAAAATGTTTTAATATGGACAACATTTTCCATGTAAACATTATTTTATGAAAATGAAAATCTTAAAATGTTTGTATCAGAATTTTATTTTGATCCCGTTTAAATATTGTAATTTGCAATCTGATGATACTTTTTATATAGGCAATCAATATACTTTGTATATAGGAAATATACTTTGAATATAGGCAATACAACACTTTTGCTACTGGAGGATCAGATGGGTTTGTGAATATCTGGGACGGATTCAATAAGAAGAGACTTTGCCAGTTCCATAGATATCCAACAAGCATTGCCAGGTAGGAGATATCCGCCATTTTGTTTTATTTATCCGCCATTTTGTTTACATTCTTTATCCGCTATTATGTTTACATTCTATATCCGCCATTTTGTTTACATTCTATATCCGCCATTTTGTTTACATTCTTGAGCCGCCATTTTGTTTACATTCTTTATCCGCCATTTTGTTTTCATTCTATGTTAGCCATTTTGTTTAAATTTTATATCCGCCATTATGTTTACATTCTTTATCCGCCATTTTGTTTTCATTCTTTATCCGCCAATATGTTTACATTCTTTATCCGCCATTTTGTTAACATTCAATATTAGCCATTTTGTTTACATGATATATCCGCCATTTTGTTTACATAATATATTAGCCATTTTGTTTACATTTTATATCCGCCTTTTGTTAACATTTTTTAACCGCCATTTTGTATAAATTTTATATCCACCAGTTTACATTCTAAATTCGGCATTTTGGTTTTAGCTTGTCGTTTGCTAATGATGGTTCTGTTCTTGCTATTGCTTCCAGCTACCTTTATGAACATGAAGATATTCCAGATAATATTCCAGAGGATGCCATCTATATCAGGTTTTTTAAAACTATATTAGGTTTTTTATCTTTCTAGAGGTTTAGGTTTTTTTAACTTTTCTTGAAATTTCTTGCCTTACCTATATTTTTAAACTTTTTTTCGATTTTTTATTTTTTATTCCTCTTTATCAAATATCATTAAATTCCTCAGGGACTTCATTTCCTATTCTATCATTTCTGAAAGTAAATTTATTTATTTCCAATGTTTTACAGGTATTCTTGAAGTTGAGAGGGAGATTGGTTTTAATATATTTCAATCTATGTATTCATCTTTAGTTTTACTAAATTTCTATCTGTGTGTGTAATTTCAAGTGACCCTCCATGCAAACATGACAATGCCCGATTCGCTACGGTACCTTTGAAACCTTTATCTGATCAGTAATATGGAAGATATTGTTGTTTTTCTAGGATTAAATGTGTTTAGTTTTGATTATTCTTATACTTTGGTTGCAGTATAGAATTGCGCAAGTAACTTTTGTACGGAAACCTAAATTGAAATTAATCAAACTATGACTATTTCATCTGATTCATAATTGATCAGACAACGCTTTTAAGGTTACCGTTGTGAATCGGGCATTGCCAACTTTGTATGAAGGGTGATTTGAAATTAGGCTTACAGTCCCTTTAACTTCTGTATCTTCTCTTCAAATTTTCGTATTTAGATATGTATCCGATCAAGAGACGAAGCCCAAATAGGGTCCATAGATGACCCCCAGCAGAGGATTAATCTCAATGGTTATGTGGTATTCTACTCAGCTGATCAACATGTGCTCGACAGCTGATTCACGTGTTCAACAGTTGAATCACATGTTTAACAGCTGTTTATCATATGCTTGACGAGGGAGGGAGTCCAGAGTTCCTCAAATAGTAATAAGTTGGCGAATACAAAAATCTAAACACTGTAAAGGTTTTTTGAAAATATCTTTTAAACGGAGATGGATTTTTCTTTGCGTGGGATGAGATAATTTTTAGTAAACAGGCAGCCCGAACTTTTAGTATCTTGACGCCAATCATGAAATGCAGTCATTAAAGTGGCGAATTGGATCTAAGATTCGGCTAAAATGAACTGTGCCTTGATTCTCAGTTTTTGTTGACCAAACAAATCTGAAAATAATTTGAAAATTTAGTTTAAGTCAGTACAGATGCCTTAAACCCCCGATAGATGTCGAAAATTGTGTTAAAAGTGCATTAAATTCAAATCACAGAAAACAAAATTTTACGGTGATTACTAATTGAGGTGGTGGAGATTACCAATTGAGGAGCGCGCCTGTCGCAAAACAGATTTGGGTGGCGGTGATTACTATTTGAGGAACTCTGGACTCCCTCCCTCGCTTGACAGCTGACTTGTGCATTAATACTTAGAAACATGTCACAAATTTGTTTTAACAGTTGAAGAAACTGTATAAAAATATTTTACTGCTATTACTGATAATTCAAGGGATACCATTGGACATCATGTGAAAATAATACAAAATAAATTACGAAAATTCATTTCACGTTTCTAATGAACTCCAAAGACATTTAAAGATTTCAACTTTGCTCCTATCTGTTGAAAAAGAAATATATCCCATGGGTAGTATAAAAGAGAAAAGAATACTTTCTACAGTTACTTAAATAGAAGTTAGTTCATAAATCTGTAGTTTAAATCCTTGGTTTATAAATGAAGGGACTGTGGTTGTTATTTTAAGTGAACCTTCATTTGAATTGGAGATGGGTATGCGCGCCCGATTTACATCGGTACCTTCCCAAACGTATTTGGGAGCCGGGGGTGCCGGAGCTCTTGGGAGTTAGCCCCGATGGCGTTCTGGGCTCTCCAAGATAGGGGGGTTTTCAGATCTAACCCTTATCTTATCTTATAATTAGGAAGTCTTGCTTATAGTGTTGAATTATCACAATATAAACTAAATATTCTAGATTAGACAACGCTTTTAAAGGATATTGTGATTCGGACGCACTACTGGAAAAATTGTTCACCTTAAATTGTGTCCACAGTCCCTTTAATATTTCTACGGGTATTAATACCACCTTTGATTCTAGATTGATTTTAACAAGTTTTTACAAAAGATTAAAGATTCTTAGTAAGTCTGTACTGAAAGCTGAAGAGTAAAGAACCTGCAAATAACTCTTGTGATTTTTATTGATAAATCAAACAAAAAATGCAGAAATTATTTTAAATTCAGTGCTCAATGCCGGACATATTTTTTATGGAGATGTTCAAGGTTTTTTTTTTAATTTAAAAAACCTTTACTAGATCTAAGAACAAATATTTTGACATGTTTTTGATACATCAGGGAATGATCACAAATCATATTTATCATAATAATGCAAAGTTTTATGCTCTAACCTAATATGTAAAGCAGAAATCAACCAAACTGCAAGTCACCTAATAGTAAACCACAATTTTAAGTTAGAAAAACTAAGATATCTTATTTGAATCGGACTTTTATAACTGAATTTTCACTTTGATTGAATTTTAGTCACATCCTCATATTCCTCCTAGCTAGATTCACTCAACAAAATATGTTTTAAATCATGATGAAAATTTCACTAGTTAGCTTGGATTGTCTCCCTTACAACACCTAAAAATTAAAACTTAAGGTACAGATGATGATTTTTCAAGTAACCCTCAATTTAAAGTGTTGTATGCCCTTTTCTCAAAAGTACTATTAAGCATTTTATTGTCATTCTTCTGTAGAAGAAAGTTATAAATTATCCTAATTTCTTTTCTTTTATCTAATTTACAAATCCGTAACTCACTTTTGTAGAGAACCAAAGCTGAAAAAAAACTTTCAAATGGAAAGAAAGGTTTACTGTTCCGACAAAGGCATTAAGGTATCATTATAAATTGGCCTGCCTCCCTTTTCCCCTTTAAGTTTATAGATATGTTTATTTTATTTAATGATACTATTTTTCTTTCCTAAGAAATACCTTACCTAAACTCTGATGATACTTTTCAAAATCCAATTGTCTTATTCTTGGCATATTCTTTAATCTTGTTTTTCTGTTCTGATAAGGAAAGTGAAAATAAAAAACTTTCATTTATTAAGATTTACATTATTTAGACAGGTGCGTCTGAAAAATCACAGCTAGACTTTGGACTGAATTTTCAATAATATCACAAGATGTAAATCACGTGTCATGTAAAAAATCACAAAACTAAAACAAATTTTTATCTTCTATTTTGTTTTTGTCTTCTTCTTTTCATCTTTCTCCATTCCTTTAGTACACTTAGTTTTTGTTTGTTGTTATAAAGTGAGATCTCATATCCTGCTCTGAAAAAAAAATCAAGTTATGCATGTTTATGAACCAGAAAATTTCATTAAACCCATAGATCTATAAATCTTTAATGCATAAAATCTTTAAATCTTCAAGTCTTCAAGTCTTCAAGTCTTCAAGTCTTCAAGTCTTCAAGTCTTCAAGTCTTCAAGTCTTCAAGTCGCTAGTCTTCAAGTCTTCATCAAGTCTTCAAGTCTTCAAGTCTTCAAGTCTTCAAGTCTTCAAGTCTTCAAGTCTTCAAGTCTTCAAGTCTTCAAGTCTTCATGTCTTCAAGTCTTCAAGTCTTCAAGTCTTCAACTCTTTAAGTCTTCAACTCTTCAACTCTTCAACTCTTCAAGTCTTCAAGTCTTCAAGTCTTCAAGTCTTCAAGTCTTCAAGTCTTCAAGTCTTCAAGTCTTCAAGTCTTCAAGTCTTCTAGTCTTCTAGTCTTCTAGTCTTCTAGTCTTCTAGTCTTCTAGTCTTCTAGTCTTCAAATCTTTAAATCTTCAAAATATCCAGATCAAAATTCAAAAGGGAAGCACCTTTAAAAATTTTGTTTGGCAATTTGTGACGGATGGGTGCTTAAATAAATTCGCCCTAATTCTGCAAATAAAACCCTTTAAACCATCTGGGGGGGGATTTTTTTTTAAAGAAAATAAGTACCCATGTTGAATGGAATTTAAGTTAGTGTTCACAATTTAGTACCTGATCATTTGTTTTTTCCGGACTTGGACAGAGAAATTGGGTTCACTTCTTGCATACTGAGCACACCATGGCTTTGTTTCATCGATCAAATAGCCTTGAACTATTGGAAGTGTCATTCTAAACAGATTTTTAAAAGTTTATATTTAAATTTTATTCAGTGCTTAGAATCCAGATTCACATTTTTTTTGGCTCCTTGGATCTGATTTTAAGCAGTAAAATCTAAATTGATTTTTAAGATGTTGCCTTACAAGCTTGAGCTCTAAAATTTCCTTCAATGTATTTTTGTTGAACAATCTAGATGAGATCTGTATCTATTTTTCCATAGGTTGTATCTACGATCTGGCCGTATTTTCATAAAAGTGATCATAAGCATGGTTTTTTTTTTGACAATTTTACATCTGCTGTGAAATCAATTTTTAAGTCCATATCTCAATCTTGATTTGATAAGCTCATCTTAAGGTTGACATGTGGATAGTAAGGTGTTCCTGAAACTCTGATTAAATGATTGATTACCTGAACTCTCCAGTTAATTTACTATTATCAGCTACTTCTAATACACAATCCTCTTTTAGCTGTTGATTTAACACCTCCAATCTGTGCACATCTGCGTCTAGCTTTTCCAAACCATACCTTCATTTTGAAAATTTACAAAAAATTCTAAGACCAAACTTTTGATTCAAGCTTCTGATTGATTGGCTTGTTCACTGATTTAAGGTAATAAATCCTCAATTTAAAATTTTGTGTTGTGGATATCAAGTTTAAGGTCAGTCGCTGAAGCTATGGCCCTTTCCTTTACACTTCTAGTAATGTTTATCTTTTTATGTCAGACTGAAAAGCCTGGATCTAAAAGAGATTATGATGGCGTACCCTGGTTAGACCAAGAAGTCTATGGGAAATCCCAAGATACTTGAATTGAATTGAATAGCTTACCTTTCTCTGTCCCTCTTAAACTTCTTCAGGAAGTGATCATAAAGCATATAGTCTGCATGCAGCCAGTTTCTATAAATTAAAATTGATGAAAAAAATGTCATATTTAGGAGCTGGTCAATGTTCTGTTAACAAATGACAAGTTATTTTTAATGAACGGAAAATAAAAAGAACAAACATTGGTGACTTTTGCAAATTTTTCTGGTTAAAATTGCATGAAAATTACCTCAGTGTTTCTCTGGCTCCTGAACTTATTACAGAAACATTTTCTGCTTTTCTCATATTTTGCTTCAAGTACCTGGATTACATTTTTAAAGATTAAAACAGGGGTAAATGTTTTTTAGAATAACCCCCATCCACCTCCCTTCCTTGTGATGATGATGATTTTTAATGCTTTGTGGGGAGGGGGGGGGGGGTTGAAAATATACGTCTAAAGGCAAGTTTATTCATCCTGTTTGATACTTTTTATTCAAATATACCTAACATTTAAGGGTTAAATGATTTTAAAGAGTAGGGGGTTGTGGTAAACACCTACCCCGTAACAAGTTCTCGAATGTATCTACCCAGGTACAATCCTTCCGCTATTAAACTCAACCAGGACTGAATCCCAGGCTCTAAATTCCACAAAAGGACACACGCGCGTAGCTATCAAAATCCAGATACTAATACAGTACTCAACCAGGACAGAATCCTAGACTCTAAATGCCACACAGTGATACAAGCGTAGCTATTTATTCTAGCTACTAATACAGTGGCCTAAATGTCACACGCCACACAGGGACTATCAACTATCTATCAACTATCTATCAACTATCTTTCAACTATCTATCAACCATCTATCAACTATAATGATTTTTAAAAAAGGGAGGAAATAATAATATCAAAGGGACTATCAACTATCTATCAACTATAAACTAGCTATCAATATTGATCCCAAATGCTGGGGACAATCAACTATAAATGCCACACAGGTTTACAAGCCTAGCTATACAACAAGCTATATACTGATTCCAAATGATTTGGACAATCCGACCTGGTTACATCAACACAGGGTTTCAGTGCTCTGAATGCCGCACAAATACAAAAGCCTAGCTATACAACAAGATATATATCCATCCAAATTAAAGGGGACAATAGACCTGAATACAAGCTTCAGGGTTTCAGGCTTATTCTCATGCAGTAAACAGTATGGAGTTACTGTATAGAACTAACTTTATTTAATATCTTATGTCACAAACTTAACAGGAGTTGACGTAGTTTTAATTCCTACTATGTTATCTACATTACATGATTATGGCCATAGTATTGAGTATTATCACACAGTTAAGTTTAATGTACATATTTTTAAGATTAGAGAGAATAGCTTTAATGCACATGTTTTGTAGCGTAATTTAAGTATGTTGCATGATTTAAACTGTTCATGTTAAGTATTCAATTGAGACGCAGTTTCAGTGAATAATGTCATTATGTCTAAGTTTACAACCTTAAATCATTTATAATGTACAAGGTACTGCAAGTTCTAAATGCCAACTGCCCCTGTTTTCACTTTTAAGATTAAATTTAAGTGTATGGTATAAAGGTGAAACATTTGAAGGTATTGTTAAACTGAAATGATGACAGAATTTTTATTACACCAAGCTTACCTCATGTTTTCTAAATCCCAACAAAGAATTTTGGCAAGCATTACTGATAATTCATAAGTAATTGGTTTTAGATTAAGGCAAGTTCCATACTTTTTACCCCAAAATCTTTTTATTTTCCTCTAAAAATCATTCATTTCCCCCAATTTAGCAAATTAAACCAATAAAAGAAATGCTTGCTCCACGCAAACATACCTAACTTCTGGGGGGAATAATGATTTTAGAAAAAGGGGGAAATGATTTTTCTGGAAAATAACACCCTGGGAATAGATCATCAAGTGTGAATATATTTTTTGATTTTTGTGATGAGATCATCTATACTAAAACATTTGCTGTATTTGGTCAATCGCTCAAATTATTTTAATATTTTAACTGCAAATTCCATGTTTTAATTCTTATCATTCCTAGAGACTCATCAAAATGTTCAGCAAACAATACAAAATGAAACTGAGAATCAAGATCTTTTATCTGAAACAAAGACTTCATCATATTTAAACATCATGCAGTGCTTCTTGGTGGGATTATTTTTTTTTCATTGCTGATTTTTTATCTGAATTTAGACTTGCATATTAAGTAAAAATTGTAGAGAGAAATCAAAACATAATGAAAATATATTTTAAATAATGAACTTGAAATCCAGTGGTTATTAGTAAAATGAAAAATAATATTGCAAGCCTTTGTTTGTTTTGAGAATAAGAAGATGGTGGTTGGGTGACAATAAATAACCTTGTTTTGTACTAAAGTGATGTTTTCCATTTCTCTCCAACCTAGGCCCAGATCCCATAGCATCTGATTCTTTCCTGTTTAAATTAATCAATCAATCAAATGAGATTAAGTACCTGTAAAGCCCATGATCTGCACAACATGGCCACGCAAGTGGCTCTCTTTGAGTGACTACTTACGTTCAAGCTAGTTTAGCTAATCGGTCAATCAATCAACATTGCTATCAGTTAAACCAACAGATCAATTTTGACATTTAAAATGAAAGTCAACAATTATTGCTTGATCAGGATCCGTATTTCTTGCTGGCTGGTCTACCAATCAATCAGGAACCAACCAAGCTGGCTGGTATATCAGTAAATCCACTGAGCTGACTTGTCAATCAGGAGATCAATTGGGCTGGATCATCCGTCAATTAGCTTCTCAGACCAGCAATCAATCAATCAATCAATCAATCAATCAATCAAGGATGTTAGCTAGCTAGTCAATCAATCAACCTTGCTATATACCAGATCTTATGAGATGCTGTTAAACCATTCAAGTCAAATCAGATAAATCAACTTGTTAAATAAGCAACAACTTATCAGTTTGTCAATATTTGAAATAAAATCTATTTAATCTTTGCTTACCTATAATTGCTGTTGATCGCCTTACCATGTTTCTGGAGGCCTAGAGAAAATGTGATTATAAAAAAGAAAAATAAGGATATAAAGTGGACATTGATAATTTCAGATGGCTCTAAGCCTGCCAAGAATGGTGGTCGGAAGAGGCTTGTACCAGCAGTGTTTTCACTTGTCTGACCGGAAACCAGCCCCTCCACTTGGTTTTCAAGCCTATGTTGAACGGTTTCCGAAAAGTTATCAAAATGCCGTGCAGAAGAGTGCGCATGAGCTGGATAATCTGTTTAAGTTAAAAACTGATGGAAATATAGATATTCAAGGTAAAATAAACCATCGAAAATATCATTCTTTTTTCTTTCTTTCTAAACGACTATTAAAGGGACTGACAATGGTAACTTGAATTATTGTCCAAGTATGAATAAGATAGCATTGTTTTTGATTTTGAAAACTGATTATTTTGAATTGTGGTTTCTCTTTAGGAGTGACTTGCGCAATTATTCTGGAGGAGAATATTTAGGAATTATTAGAATCAAACACTTTAAACCCTAGAAAAATCACAATATCCTCCATATTATTGATTAGATAAAGATTTTAAGGGTGCTGTTAAGGATCCAGTATTACCATTTTTTCATGGAGGGTTATCTGAAATTAAGCTCACAGTCCCTTTAAAAATGTTTTGTTTCGTTAATGTTTCATTGTTAATTATCAAGAATCTAGTGTTTGCTTGCAACTTGACGTGATTATATTTCTGTTAAGGAGCCACAAGTATTAATGGTGAACAACTTCTAAGCTTCCTAGCTACAAAACGAAAACCAAACATCAGGTAAAAATAATTAAAAATTGTAATCCCCAAAAATGCTTTGTAAAATTATAAAGTTTTAGTTTTGTTCCTTTCAGTATGAGTAGTCTGGAAGTAATAAAACCGACTTTACTTCAGGTAAGCTAAGTTTATATTTTATTTTGGATATTTGGTGCTATATCGATTGAACTAACGTTCATTTGCACTAAAGTCGCTGTTCTCTTTTCAATTTTACTTTAGTGCATAATTATTTAACTTCGGGCATGTTTAAAAAAAAATAAATATTATCAAAGAGATTTGTGGCTGCGGCGCCTGGCCCCCTATTCAGTTGCAGCACTCGGTTTTCTAGCCTGTCCCAGCTGCAGAGCTTAGTCCCAAAAGTATTGAAACCCAACCTAACCTTAAAATATTGAAAAAATTCTGCACAAGATTCTTATCTCAATTGAACAAATTTCTGTTTATTTGGACTTTTAACCCTTTTATAACCTCTTGGTCCAAAGGTACATTTGTCTTAACAAACGTTAAGTCAATTAATCATTAGACTTAATGATAGGAACGACACCGGATAATTATTAATTCTATTTTCAGTTGAAACATGTAACAAATCCTCATGCTAAAGAATTCCTGGATAAAGCACCCAGGAGCCCCAAAACAACAGATGATCAGTCCTTAAAAGCTCAACCTATTCAGACCAGCTCTAAAAAACATGTTGCCAAGGCCCCGAAACAGACTTTACAAAAACCTCTTGCTCAAAATTCCAACGAATTGTCTCTTGAAACTTATGACAATGTGACAACAAAAAGCTTTGAAACCATTTCCTCTCTATGATCAAAACCACAACCTAGCCAGACTATAGGAACACCAAGAACCAAAGTGAGAAGCTCCTCAAAAAAAGATAATTCATTTTCTTCAAATCAGACTGAGACCATAGTCCCTCCAAAACCCGTGCTATCTGAAGAGAAAAAAGCATCTGAAGCTCAGACTAAGACTAAGCCTGAATCCCCAACCGAGCAATCTTTGGACGAATCCTCCGAAACATTAAAACCCTTAGGTGATAAAATAAAAGCACACAAAGTGAAGAAAATACTGGAAAAGTACCAAAGTGAAGAATCTTTACAAAGTGATTCTGTACGGTTCAAAGGACAACCTAAAAAAGTCGCACAGGCAATGGAAAATTCACCTGTTGATGCTGTAGATAATTCAACTGTACATGCGGTAATGGATTCAGCTGTACAGTCGGAAGAAAATTCAGCTATAGAGGCAAAAGGAAATTCCACTGGACAGTCTGTAGAAAATTTAACCCTACAGGCTTTAGGAAATTCCACCGTACAATCAGTAGAAAACACAGCTGTACAGGAAAAAGAAAATTCCACTGTACAGTCAGTTGAAAATTCTGCTGTACAGGAAAAAGAAAATGCCACTGTACAGTCAGTTGACAATTCTGCTGTACAGGCAAAAGAAAATTCCACTGTACAGTCAGTTGAAAACACTGCTGTACAGGAAAAAGAAAATTCCACTGTACAGTCGGCTGAAAATTCTGCTGTACAGGCCAAAGGAAATTCCACTGTAGTATTAAAAGACAATTCCACTGTACAGCCTAAAAGTGAAACTATTGCAGCGCACTATAAAGCAAAGTTGACGAAAGGGGACAATTTTGTACTGCAAACCGATAAACCAGTTACCAACAGTTCTAAGGACCTTAGTACTAATGTAAACAAAGATTCAGTCCAACCACTGCCAGAGCAGTACATTAAAAATGTAAACAAAGATCTAAGACAATCTTCAACTGGTTTTTTCTCTTCAATCAGAAATTCTTTAAAGGGTATGTTTAGAAAATAGAAATTGAACTTTTTACTTCATCATTATTTTCGTTGTAAAACAAATATTGTCCCATAAACTAAATTGTAGAATTAAAGGCCCATGTATACAAATTAGAATGTGAAGATTTGATACAAGGCCCATGTATGCATATCAGAAAGTAAAGATTTGATACAAGGCCCATGTACGCATATCAGAATGTAAAGATTTGATACAAGGCCCATGTATGCATATCAGAATGTAAAGATTTGATACAAGGCCCATGTAATTATATTAGAATGTTAAGATATGATACAAAAAATCTAATATGGTTTTGTCTGATCAAGGATGAATGAGATATTGTTTATCTAATATATTGAAAATAACTGTCTGAACAAGGATGAATGAGATCTTGTTTATCTTGTATATTGAAAATAGCTGTCTGATCAAGGATGAATGAGATATTGTGTATCTTGTATATTGAAAGTAACTGTCTGATCAAGGATGAATGAGATATTGTGTATCTTGTATATTGAAAATAACTGTCTGATCAAGGATGAATGAGATATTGTGTATCTTGTATATTGAAAATAACTGTTTGATCAAGGATGAAAGAGATATTGTTTATCTTGTATACTGAAAGTAACTGTCTGATCAAGGATGAATGAGATCTTGTTTACTGAAAGTAACTGTCTGATCAAGGATTAATGAGATCTTGTATATTGAAAGTAACAATATCTTGATCGTTGTTACCCCGAAAGTGGATTTAAGGGTACCGTTGTACATTGTACATGGCCGTTTCAAATAACGTCTACATTGCTTTTAACATAGAGCCTAAAGCATTCACTCTTTATTTTTATTATTTAAATTCCTGTAGACCCATGTATACATAGTTGGACTCGAAGCAATCAACAGGGTCTCTAAATAATGGGATTAGGTTTTAATGTACTTGGTTTATTTACAGGATTATCCGGAAAAGAAAAGACTTCTGAAACGACTATACGAAATTTAAACTGTCTGCTTCCTTATATTTATGTTGCCCTGAGGCCGAATTTAAAGAATTTGAGCCGCAACTTAAATTTGAGACGCGGCTCAAATATGGTTGGTTCCATTTAAAATTGTATTCAATGTTTATAAGATTTAAGCCGGCGCTCTATTGAAACCGGTTTTTTGAGGAATTGAGACGCTGCTCAAATTCATTAAATCCGGACTCTGGAGCTGTAAGCTCATTCTCTTATCCTTAAACAAAATAACAGAGTAAGATTTAACAGATTTTTCTGGTTTACATATTTTTCAATATATAATGTTTTTAAAGATTTTTCAAAGATAAATAAAATTTTGTGATTTCGATTGAGCTCATTCATTCGTTTATATATATTTTTTGGACTTCAGTGTATGAAATGCAATTAAAATTATTGCTATAGAGAACATTGTTTTCTTTATACAAATGCATACGGGTGGCGTGTTTGGAATATTACTGATAAGTTAGAATGAGAACTTCACTTACAGGGTGTCCCAAAAAACATGGGAATTCAGTGACGAATTCGATATCGTCTTTATAGATAATTCTTTGATTTAGTAAAGTGATACCTAGTGAGAAAGCTGTAATTTGTAAGAGTTTCGTCTGCTAAGTTCACATTTTGTTTTTTTTATGTTTTGACTGCATACGGTTGTACTTAGTAAAACAAGAAAATTACAGTATACAAACAGAGTATTTACTTGTCTGTCTTCACTGTTCATCTTGCAGAGACATTATAGACACACCTTTACAGTCTTTTACCCTTTTCATAAAATAAACTCTAGCAGACATAATAATATTATGGCTTTTGAAATTAGGTACTACAATGCTAATTCATAACAAAGACGATATCCAATTCGTCACTGAATTCCCATGTTTTTTGGGACACCCTGTAGCATGTTCCTTAATTCCCATGTTTATCGGGACACCCTGTACCCTATCTCTTTAAAGGTAACGTACATTGGACAGGGCCGTTTCAAATATTGCTTTTATCATAGAGCTAAAAAGTATTCGCTCTTTATTTTTATTATCTAAATTCCTGTAGACCCATGTATACATAGTTGGACTCGAAGCAATCAACAGGGTCTCTGAATAATAGGATTCGTTTTTAATGTACTTGGTTTATATACAGGGTTACCCACAAAAGAAAAGACTTCTGAAACGACTATACGAAATTTAAACTGTCTGCTTCCTTACATTTATGTTGCCCTGGGTAAACTCATTTTCTTCAGTTACGCACGCCTCGGCTCTCCTTTTCTATCATCATAACAAAATAACTAAATAAGATTTAACAGATTTCTCTGGCTTAACCTTTTTCAAAATATAAATAAAATTTTGTGATTTCGACTGAGCTCACGATAGGTTTATTCGTTTATATATATATTTTTTGAACTTAAGTGTATGAAATGCAATTAAAATTATTGCTATAGAAAACATTTTTTTCTTTTTGCAAATGCAAATGCTTCTTTGGAATATTACTGATAGGTTAGAATGAGAACGTCACTTACTATATTCTTTCTCTTAAAATTCGAAAAGATTTCCTATAAAATGGTACAGAGCCAGGTTGTATAATGTATACTGGGAAACAAGAGACTTAAGCCCCATCCCCCCTTGGAGAAGTAAAATACGATTTCTGAAGGATATTCGGCACTCAACAGGGATTAAGCTACTGCACCCCCTGTAATGTCAAAATTAATTTCCTGTGCACGCCCCTGTATGAAGGATATGAAGCCCTTCCAATTTTTTCAATTAAAAAATAAACTTGCCTGAGAAGTGTAATATAAACAGCTGTGGGTAAAACCTTCTTTATTTCAGGATAATTCCAAATACTAAAATATTTATTTTGAAAAAAAAATTTAATTAAACTGTTTTCAAATAATTCTTCAAGAAAGTAAAAGAACTTTATGGTCTGTCTCACAACAGTAATCTTTATTGGGACTATAGAGTCTATAGTATAGACATCATTTTAAGTGGTACCTTCCACTTAAAGGGACTGTTAAGGAAAAATGAAAGGGGGTATAGGCTGAAACCTAAGTATATTAGGAGTTCTATCTGATGTTTCTGTCTCTAGGAATTGATATAAAACTGTGTCAAATTTATACAGAAATCTAAATATATAAAATGTTGTATAAAAATAGCAGGTTTAAATAGATTATATTCAGCAAATATGCAACCAATCTAAAAACGACGATATACCAGAGGAGCCTAAGTAACCTAGGTTTGCTCCTGTTATTATTTGAATTTGATAATTTTTGATTTTCAATAGATTTAATTGATAATATAATAAATAAGTCCGTATCATGTGACCAGAACACCCACCAATGGCACTGCAGTATCATTATCACGTGACCAGTGTTTTGGTTCTTTTAATCTAATATTGTTTGCTTTTATTAAACTTTGCAATTTCTCTATATCTCTAAAAATGGAAAATCGATTGTTATAACAGGCTTGTTTTTGCATCGTTTATAGAACTTATTTTTCATATATCTTCTGTTGCAGGGTCAAAATTTGACATAGTTTAATAAAAGCAAGTGTTTAAAATCAAAAACCATTTGTTTTTCGTTTACTTTACGAAATTTTGAACCCTGAAAGAAATTAAAGGCATATCATTACAGGGGTGTATTCCCCCCCACCCCTATTTCCCAAATTTAGCGAATAAAACCCTAAAAAAAACATATAAAACTTCTGGGGATAAAATGATTTTCAAAACGGGATGGGGAAGGAAGAAAAATGATTTTTCGTGAAAATATACACCCCTGCATCCCTATACCTATGGAAGATGAAGAAATCAAATCCTAGTTTAGCCCAGGGTAGATCTAGTACCATACTTGAGTTAAAGGGTTCCTAAATTAAATTAAATATTATATTGACAGTTGACGGGGTTTCATGTGACCCTCCATTTAAAGAATGGCATGTCTGTCTGAAGTTTAAAAGATGGAAAATTTAGCTTGATGTGAATTAAGAATTAAAATGGAACTTTAGCAAAAACATTATTCTTTAATCATATTATTCTTTAATCATATTATTCTTTAATCATATTATTCTTTAATCGTATTATTCTTTAATCATATTATTCTTTAATCATCGTGAAACCCTTTCCTTTAATTCCCATGATTTTTGAGACACATTTTACTGTGTGTACAATATCTATCAATTTATGTCTGTAATGGGACACCCTGCAACCGGTGTCTTTCAAATTTCATGTTTATTGGGACACCCTGTAGCATGTTCCTTAATTCCCATGTTTATCGGGACACCCTGTACCCTATCTCTCATTTCCCAATTTTATTTGGACACCCTGTCTCTCAATTCCTACGATTTTTGAGACATCTGTACTGTGCACCCTATCTCTCAATTTCCTCTGTATTGGCACACACTGTAACCCCTTCCTCAATCCACATGTTTACTGTGACACATCAGGCAGCGCGAAGGTCAACCCGTTCACACTCCCATACCTGGACAAAACAGAAATTAAAAATGTTTTCCAAATTTTTTTTTTATTTTGAAAAAATGTTATTATTTTAAAATTTGTTGTTACTTTAAAGGGACTGTAGATCTATTTAAAGTGACAGAGTGGCATGTCCGATTTAAACGGTATCCTTAAACCCTTGTTCTAATTAACAATTTCCTTTCTTGTGTCTGCTGTCCAAATATCCAACTGCACAGCACTCTTTTAAAGAAACCACAATTGGAAATGATCGGTATTGATTACTGAGTATTGAGTACTTTAAAGGGACTGTAAGAGTAATGTTAAGTGACCCTCCATGCTCCATTCACAACGTTGCCCTTAAAAGCGTTGCCTAATCAAGTTTGAATTACATTCATATGTTTAAAATTTTGATTATTTTTAATTAGTGGTTTCTCTTAGAAAGTGACTTGCGCATTTCTACAACAGGAAAATATATAGGAAGTTGAACACTTTACACTTTTCAACTTAACAACAGTATCTTTCTCATCAGATAAAGGTTTTAATTGCAATATTATGAAAATCGGAAATTGCCATCTTTGCCATTTAAAATTACGCTTACAGTCCCCTTTCCGGTTTACCTGAAGAACACGTTTTGAAGCGTGGAGCTTCCGGTCTTGTGCGTTTTAGCAAAGACGACTTTATGGTAAGGAGCACAAGTCTCCTAAAATAAGAAAGATTGGAAATTTTTACGTTTAATTTAGTTTATTCTTTAGCTATTGTCTGTACGGTTGAACCGAATAAAATCAAATTCAGTGCGTTTTTTGCCAGTAACAATCATAGAACTATCCCTTAAAAATTATGTTTTAGAAGAAATCAAAAAATAGTTCTTTCCGTTTCTGGTGCACAAAAATAAAATGATTTTTAAAACTGTCCAGAAACAATTTTGAAGTCCTCAAAATTGTCTCGAACAAGTTTTATGTAGGTATTTGACATATTTCAATTTCTTTTTTAAATTGATGTAAGGAACTATATACAGGAACGCCCAACTCAGATATACGCATATTATGTACTGTAAACTGTGGGAGGAATGTAAACAAATCCAGTGCCCCCAAAGAAGTTGAAGGGAAAAAACTACAGTTAAAACAAGTTAATATATCAAGTTAGTTTTGATCTCCTCCCACTGCAGTACACAGATTTGACGCATGAGTTATGGCGGTTCTTGGTCTATATATTTCTTGAGTTGATGTATCATTTATTTGTTTTGTCTTTGTAAGAAGCTGGTTTATTAATTTCTAGATTAGCGGGATTTATTGAAAATTGTAAAAATATGTTAAACTAAAGTAAAAACTAATTTTCAAGACGTATTATGATCGGAAATAAACATTAAACAACCATTTGGTTTTCACAAAATAAATTGGGTCTTATCGGTTTAGAAGATTATTGTTGGGGGAAAAACCAAGTCAAATTAGAAAGAATCGATTATTTTTCAAATATTGTGATTTTAGTAAAAAATAACAAAAAAGCAAAAATTTAGCAAAATTAATAAATGAAATAGTTAAAGGAAATGTTGAGAAATTAGTGACCCTCCGGCCTCCGTGTTAAAATCGGTATTCTTCAAAACCTTTAGTAAATATTTAGTTTTTAAAGAAATTGAGTCTTTGTCACAGACTCAAATTTTCTAATCCTTATATCTGTGCCAAACTTAGATTATTTGATCTAGCAGAATTCATAGTTTGAAATATATAAGGTTTAAGACATTGGGTTGCAAAGATATAGGGATTGAAAAATCATGGGTTGTGGCGAAGACTCAATTCCTTTGAAACAATTGATGAGACTCAAAGTGACTTGTAGATTAAAGCAGAAAACTTGTTAGAATTTAATAAACCCATGTCCTAAACCACGATAGCTTTCTGATTGTAAAGCATATAAAAGATTAAAGGGTAGCGTAGAAAATCTGTGATTATGCCAGACTACATTTGCTGCTGCTGCGTCGACTCTACACTGGGTAGCCTGACTGGACAGTACGCCAGACTGGGCATACATTACGTGTTGTACCGGCAAGGATCATGCAACTTTTAAACTGGAGTGTATTTTGATATGGATGATAGTCCTTTTAACCTGTGAAGTGAGATCTACAGTGAACTCCAGCCACATGTCTTACATTTAAGACCCCACCAGCTGCCAGTCTCTACGCAGGCATCCCACAAAGATTTGTCTGGATCTACAAAATTCAATCCCCCTCTCTCTGTTTTGGAATTTTACGGAGCATTGCCCACAACAGAAAATGGCAAATGCCTAAATATATAACTTTTATAATAGAATAAAGGGACTGTAAGCGTAATTTCAACTGATCCTCGGCCGCCAGGCAATGATGACAATGCTCGATTCAAAACGGTACCTTTAAAACATTTATATTGTCATTTTTCTAGGCTTAAAAGTATTAAATTCTGAAAATTCAAAAATGTTTCCCTGCAGTATTTCCCCCTCCCTACCTCCATGAAAAGATATCAATGCCCTATTTTCATTGGTAACCTTAGAATTTTAAATTTGATCAAAAATGTTTAAGCTACCGCGTCGGGTTTTTTGTTCAAAAAGTGCTTATTTCTGTGAGTTTCTCCATTGCTTCTTATAAACAAGAAATGTGGAAGTCACTTTTCCAGAAAAACTGCAAATGAAAATAAACAGTTTAAATAAACAAAAACAATGACATCTAATTCATCCATGATCAGACAAAGCTTTCAAGGGTACCTTTGTGAATCGGGCATTGCTGTTTTCGAACAGAGGGTTACTTGAAATTACGCTTACAGTCCCTTTAATGCAAAGAGAAAGGAAAACATTTAACTGTTGTCTAAGATGACTAAAGATATTCTAAGATTAAAACCAGCTTCATGGAACTAGAAGTTACATGAATTGTAATTATTAAAAATGATAATGTTTTAATATGATTAATTTTAGTTGTTAACCTGGTTTTTAAGCTCTCCAGTTGGCCAGCTAATTGTGGGACCTGGTTTAAAAAATGTAAAGTAAATATAATTCATATTCTATATATAATATATATATATTAAGTACTCACTAGAGTACCCGTGGGGTTGTCCAGGTTTATAATATTATTCATTTACATGGTTAATCCCGCCATTAACCTGTTATAAATCATTTTATAATGTAATTATCATCACAATCAATTCAAGTACATTTGAACCCGCCGGTACAACAACTACACTAGCAGACATACGGCAGGGGTCAATATAGTTGGTCTAGCTCAGTAGGCAGGGCTACCTGGTGAAACTAGGTTGACGCGGTCTGACTTTAGGCTGCATCTGGTTAAATCTAAAATCACTAAATCTGAAATTGTGCGTCCCATGGGTTTCCAGACAAAGCTGGGTTCCAAAGCTAGTATTTGCATATACAATTTATGTCACATTTACCCCCATTAATTTGTTCCCGGAAAGTAAAACTCTAAAAATTTACGTCGAATTTTATTATAGACAAAGCTCGGTTCCCAAGCCACGCAGAACTGTCGCTGTAATAAAAGTAAATTCAACCTATAGATGTGTAAAGTCTGACCGCGTCAACCTCGTTGCACCAGCTAGTCCTGTACACAGAGCTAGACCAACTTTGTTGACCCCTGCCAGGCAGTAAAGTACAAACTGAGACTGGAAAAGTTGACCCGAGACCAAAACTTAAGACAGTTTATCGTTCTGAAAATCAGTTTTAAACCCCGGGTTTCACGAATGGGGCTAGGCAGTTTTGTGAATATCAATATTTTTGTTAAGAAATATTATTTTATTCAGTTTGTTTATATTCTCCATTTTTT